CGTCCGATTTACACTCAAACGAGTTGAATATAACATTTTATTCTTCGAATTAGAGTCAACAAGGCTTAAACTTGCTTTAAATCTGTCAAAAATAATTTGACGTTTCGTATTGAGAAATGCCAAACAGTTGTCAAAACTTCCTTACACGGGAGAACCATAAATTTTGACAGTGTCGAAGAATAAAACATTTTATTACCACATATTTAAAAACCTCTACTTTTTTTATAAACATAGAGGGCTAAAATGGGAGGCGAGATACTACAAGTAWCAAAAAAAAATAAGTTGGCAAGAGTCCAAAAAATACATTTTGTTACTACATATTTAAAAAACTTTTGATTTYTTATAAACACAGAGAAGATACCACAAGCAGCAAAAAAAATTAAGTTGGCAAGAATGCAAAATAGTATATTAAAGAACGCGTTTCGTAAGGCAAGTTTTGTGGAACGAGTTTTATAAAGAACGAGTTTCTGCAAATGACTTTTTTGACATAAAGATCAATTTTTCAAAATTTTGGAACATTCGTTCTAATAAGGTTGTGGTTGGTTGGTAATAAATGTCACAAAGTTTAAAAGTTTGATTTYCAAAGTGTCAAATTTCAAGTATTTTTAAAATTTTGTTGAATACTACAAATATTTCATGCACACCACATGAAAAAAAAAGAAATCGATCAAAAACTGCTGAAAATTACCAACCTCTAAAAAGAAAATTGTACTAGTCTATTTCAGCACTCAAATCGGTGTTGAAATGGCTCATTAAAGCATCAGTTTTGGTATAGAAAAAAGCTTTTTTTATACGCAAAATAGAGAAAAGAGATTTTATTACTATATGTTTCTTATAAACACAGAGAAGGTTAAAATCRGAGGCGATATACCACAAGTAGCAAAAAAATAAGTTGGTAAGAGTGCAAAAACATTTTATTATTACATATTTACATACATTACATATTATTTTATTATTGCATCTTTATAAACACAGAGAAWAAATCGGAGGGAGAAAATTAACAAAATTAGTACTTGTGACTTTTTTTCTCGTATTTTATTAATCTTATGTTTTGAATTGTTATAGTTTACGTAGTTTATATTTTTTTATTAGAGTCAAAAATAGCCAAGGCAATAATTAATTTGATCTAGATCAAATGAAAAAAGATATAGTAAATAAAAAATTATAATAAATTATCTAATTGAAATTTGTATCAACTTTGATTTAATTGAATATGGACTTTTTATTGTGTAGCTGGGACTCAAACCCTAATCCTAACCCCTGACAGGTTTCTATATTCCCTTGCTTACATTTTCCCTTTCGTTCAAAGTGTTTTGAGCTTTATTGAATAGATGGCAGTGAAAGTCATAGCTAAATTGTTATTATTATTATTACCACAAGTATTGTTTTTTTTTATTACAATAAAATATTGATCGTAATTTTTGAAAAAAAATATTTACACTTTAAATTATTGTTTATCGAATTGATCAAAAACGAGAAACGATCTGTCATTATATATCTATCTCTCTCGTTCTTATATTTTTCTTAAAATGTCTAGAATGAGATAGAGCAAGTTTGAGGGGTGAAAATTTCACCATAAACCAAATCAAATTCCTTATAAAGGACGATAAAATTATTCGTTCGAGCGTTTGAATTCCTTGGATGTTTTCCGACCGTTCGTTCCGCGATCGATTACAAGTTTTATGCGATAATTATGTAAGTTTGAGGGGAAATTTATTACTTCTGGAGGATAGATAATAAACGGCAAAGGCCACAAAAAAGTTTAACGAAAAAAAAATCAATAAATTTACTTGTGATAGGCAACCAAACATGACAACGTGTTTTAGGTGTTGTGAAACCATTTTCATAGACTATAATGGTTTTTGTGGTGTTATTATACAAAAATTAATTGACTTTGGTCAATGTTTACAAAAAAGAATTGCAAAAACATTTTAGTAATCAATTCAATGTCAGAACAAAGTTTTTTTGTTGAGGTGAAATAGGGCCCAAATTGAAGGAATTCCTAAAAATATTCCTAGTTTTTTGTGAGAGAAGATTAGAAATTTTAAACATGTGAATTTAGCAAATATTATTAATCTTAAAACAAAAATAATTACCAAACATTTAGCAAGATTATCACTTTATTAAACGATTGGTAACATTGAAAAGCTACGTATAACCAAGTTATTCTTTTGTTTATATCAATTCTACCAACCGTGAAATGTACATCCTAGCCTACTATTTATAATAATTAATGATTTTTTTCTATTATTATTATTATTACTATTGTTAAAAATATTGAATACGTAAATTTTTTGACTTAACCAAATTAATATTTAATATCAGTGCTACCAACTTTATCGAATTTTATTTCTACAAACTGAAAATACAGGGTATGTCAGAACTTGCGCCTGAGAGAAAAATTTCAAGTATTCAAAAAAAATTTCAAGTATTTGTCAAAAAATTTAATGATACTCATAATCTTGTATAAAAAATTGAAAAAATATGTATTTTTTTAGATTTCACTTCTACCATCCGTAAAGCACAAACCTCATCCAACTAAAAAAATAACCTAACTTTGTTAGACGGTTGGCATAACTGAAGTTTGCGTTTGACTTATCAATTCTACCAACCTTGAAATATAAATTTTAGTTTTGCAATTATGATGTTTTTTCTTTATTTAATTTTAATTTCATTTTTTTAAAACCGTGACCTTGTTGGCGTTTGATTAGCAATGCTGCCAACTCTGAGACATAAATTTCAGCTTACTATTTGTAATTATTTTGTTTTTTTTAATGTGTAACCGATCAAATCGAGTATCTTGGAGCCCCTCTTTGCTCTCACCCTTCTTATTCCCTTTAATGTGATAATTAAGGAAGTGACGTTTAAGTGATGAGTGACATTAGAGTTCAGTTAACGCTAACTATTATATTTAATCTTCAGTTAAAGTTAGTCTCTCGCTTAATGATTCGTTAAGTCGAATTAGTAAGGAATCTGCATCTACTCCCGCTTTTCTTCTACCTCATTTGTTTCCAAGATAACCTGAAATTCCTCCCTTCCACACCCCCATAACAAAAAAAAAACTCTTTTTTACCAAAACCTTTATTTCGCAAAAGACAAACACAATATAACATTACAAAAAAAAGACAAAACTTAACTTAAAGCAGTTGCATGTGTATTACAAATGATTAAAAGCTACTCTAACTTAAATCTAACCTAAAAAAAGCGTCGGAAAACTTCGGGAGTCTTCGATATTGTTGAGGAGAACATTTCGTGGTCATTTTTTTTAAACAACTTGTTGCGCGGGGAAATACCCGGAGCGATTTTTCACGACGAGAAGCGGAGCGAATTTAAGATTCATAGAATTAAAGATGAGAAAATTTATTATTCATCTCGTGTGCCTTGGAAAAGCTAAGATAAATGAACGTAGAGTGTGTAAACAAAAGAGGTGCATGCAAAGGCACATACTATGTCGAGACATGCTGCGAATATTTTAATAATGACTTTTCGCGATTATCATTTCATGCATAGTTCACTCAAGCGAGGAGGAATTGGGAATTTAACGAAATTTTATGTTAAAATTTTATTGCGAATTGGATTTGTTTTGATAAATTTATAGAAAAATCGGACTAGACTTTTATTTTTGTAGTAATTTGAGTGTTTTTGGCGGATTTGAGACTGAATCTGTTGCTTTTGTAGTGAATTTTACTTGTTTTGAGGTTTAAAATGTATGAAAACGGATATATCCAAATTTGTGTTTTGTTCTATTATTTTACAATTTCTGTGTAATCTTTTAAGTTTATTAAGTACTTAAATTCTATTTCTTTGGTATTTTGCGTCAGTTAATTAGTTAATTAATTAATTGGTTATATCGTGAAATAACTGAGAATGTTTGTCTAGTTTTTCGCAAATTTTTAATATAAAAAAATGAAGAAATCAGAAGTTTATTTTTTTGGATTTTTATTGTTTTATTGGGCTCCAAATTGGTTAATGATTTTTATAATTCAACTTTTTTTAGTGGTTTAGAAAATGTTTACAGGCTGATTCAAAAGTGACATTATTTGTGTTATAAGAAAGTGTTTTGGAATCGTTGAAAAAGTTTTACAAGTTTTGTTTAAAAAATGGATAAATAATGAAATTTTGTGTGGTTAGTATGTCACTCTTGAATCACCCTGTACCTACAATTTGTTTTTTGATAATTTATGAATGTTTTTGAAATAACATTTTGATTGAATATAGGAAAACTGTTTTGTCATTATAAAAAAATTAAAATAATAAAGTACTTACAGAGTTTTTGGTGAATATTGTAACAATTTCTATTTTGACATATTGATAAATAAATATATTTTATATATATATATAAATATATTTTTGGCTACAGACGACTAAATTTGTTCTGAAGAATAGAATAAAAAGTATGTAAAACTGAAAATAACAATGTAGAAAGAACAATTTTGTTAAATATTTGGTTATTTTGTTTATTGTTTATATTTTTTACTTTTTGTTTTTTGATAATTTATATTTGTACTTGAAAGATTTGTGTTATTACGTGTAAATAAAAATAAAGCATAAATATACAGATTGACTCAAAAGTGACATTCTAACTTTGTGTTTTATGGCGTTTTGATCAATGCTAAATTCATTTAAAACAAATATGTTACATCAAATTTTTGTAAAATAATGAATAAATAAAAAAAAATTTTGTTTGCATGTCATTTTTGAATTACCCTGTACGTTTTTAAATATAATTTTTGTTAACTGTTTCTGAAATAGTTTTGTTAAGTATTACGTGTAGAAAAAAATATGTTAATAAATTTGTTCTGAGTTTTAGAATAAAAAGTATGTAAAACTGAAAATAACAATATGGAAAGAACAATTTTGTTAAATATTTGGTATTACAAGTAGGAGTATTGTTTGTTTTTATTTTGTTTATTGTTTATATTTTTACTTAAACTTTGCTTTAATTTAAAATTCCTATAAAAAATTTAATCTTGTCTATTTTTAACGTGAGGTCATCAAAAACTAAACAAAATTTAGTTGTAAAAATAAATTTTGTCGAAATTACAGCTACTATAAACTTAAGTGTTAATAAAAGATCAGTAAATTCTCAGTTTTATTAAACAAACAAGGACAGAATATAATAAACGAAATTAAATTTGACAATTGAGACACAAAAGATATTTTTTAAGAATCAAGAAAAGTCAAAGATTAAGAAAAAAATATTTTGAAGGTATTCGCTTTTATCTGGAGAGCAAATATAAAAAATTGTATCAGATATAGAGTGAGTCAGCTAAAAATATTCTACGATTTTCTCCAAAATAAAATCTGATTTGGTAACTGAAAACTGCACTTTTTGAACACTCATCCAGTATATAAAAATTGTATTTTTTACATATTTTTAACTTGACTTTTGATCGGATTGAATTGAGATTTTTTATAGTAATTTTTCACAGATTTCAGTCCCATTTGGCAGTACTGCATTTTTAGTTTCGTAATGACTTGTTAGGATGCATGTTAACTTTTTTATTTTTGTAGAAAATTTTTTCTCATCTTTATTGCGTCTTAATTAAAAGGGCAAAAAACGTGTTTTTGTGAAATTCCAGCCCTCTCGTCATAATTAAATTTCACGTAACAGAATAACGCAATTTCTAAGTCTTGCCAGCCATAAATTGCAAAGGTAGCAAGTATATATTCTTAATGTTCGTGTTAGAAATCAGTGCAGAAATTAATGGGGTATTTTAGTAATTTAAGTTATGAATTATGCTTCCCGGGGTCGCTTTTACCCCCCAATTGGGGTAAAAAATCATCGAGGGTGGGAAAAATCCTTTTCCTCCTTCGTATCCAGGAGCGATGCCGTTATTAGAAAGCCAACTATTCTTACAGGGGCGGCTGAATCATTGATTTCTTACATTAAGCCACACCCTCCTTATTCCCCCCTTTCGTCGCCGGCCAAGGAAAGTCCCAGCCTCCCCTGATGTGGTGGCATCCCTCTCTTTTTCAAACACTTCCCTCCCGCTCTTTGTATTTCTTAAATTCCCCCCTCCTCCGCGTCTCCGGTTGCAAATTTCAGCAGGTGACGACTGGCAAGTTGGTCAAACTGAAGAGAAAAAAAAGGATTGTGTCAGAATTCGGAGATTTGTCGCGTCCGACACCGATAACATCGGCTCCGGAATTCGTCAGTAAGGTAATTTTTATTTTGTTTTTAAGAGTTGGCAACCGTTGCTGAATGACAGGTGAATTCACTGAAAACGTGACCGTAAAGTATTATTTCAGGAGAAGTCTAAGACGCCTTATCGAAACAACTTTTCTCCTGAAAACACTTTAGAGTTTTAGAAAGTTTGGGAAAATGCAAAAAACTGAAAAGTGGTCCTACAAAATCCGTTTCAGGTGTTTTAAAGTGTTAATTTTTTCAGGATAATTCAATAGTTGTTTGTGGAATCTTCAATTTATTGCCTTGTCAAAAATGTTTCTATGTATGTATTTTTGTTTTCTAAAAGTCTGAAAAATTGCATCTGAGTTTCTGAAATACAATAAAACTTTCAACATAGTCTGAATGGCGCATTTTCAGAGAAAAACACTATTTTTTCCGATTAAAAAATGTTTATTTTTTGCAGAATTTGATAAATCAAGTTAACCATGGAAATGCTTTTGTTTTAAAATTATTATGTTTTATCAGAGTGGCATATTTTCAGAAAACAAATGTATAATTGTTGTTTTTTTTTGTTGAGTTTTTTGTTTCTAAAATGTGTATTTTTGGGGGAAAACTAGTCGAATTGATGAGATTTTGTTGCTGAAGGAAAAAAAAAGATTTGATAGGTAGACATTTTCAGAGAAACAAAAATGACAAATTTTCTGTCAAAATTTTTTCTTTCTGAAAGCCAAAATATTTCAGTTTTATTGAAATATTTGGTTATACAGGACAACCACGGTTTTGATAACTGTCAGAATCAGTTTTATTAAAAAGAGTTATTTAGCAAAAAAAAATTTCATGTTGTTGAAAAAAAATTTTTTTTTTTGGTTGGGGTTTGTCCAATGACAGTTTTAAAAAAGAACAAGAAGTATTATTTTAGTAACGGTCAAAATCTCTTATTTTTGACACTTTTTTAGACAAAGAACGTTTGGACTTTTGATAAGTTGATAACTTCTAAATTTGAAGAATAAGTTTTGATAAAATGACATTTGACTGTTAATATCGTTTGTTTTAATTTGGTTAAAATGACATCGTTTTGAGTAAAAACAAATATTGTTTTGGTAACCGTTAGAATCTCTTGTTTCGGAAGTTGATTAAAGTTTTGATAAGTATCAAATTTAAGCTTTGTTAAAGTGACACTGACAAGAACTTTTGTTTTAATATGTTTAAAATGACACCGCTTTGAGGAATAAAAGTAAATATAACTCTGGTAACTGTCAAAAACTCTTGTTTATGAAGTTAAAAAATTGACAAATCAAATTTGACAAATCAGTTTTAGTAAAGTGACACAGAAAATAAGCAAATATCGTTTGTTTTAATTTGGTTAAAATGACATCGTTTTGAGTAAAAACAAATATTGTTTTGGTAACCGTCAAAATCTCTTGTTTCGGAAGTTAAAAATGACAGTTTTGATTAAAGTTTTGATAAGTATCAAATTTAAGCTTTGTTAAATTGACACTGACAAGAACTTTTGTTTTAATATGTTTAAAATGACACCGCTTTGAGGAATAAAAGTAAATATAACTTTGGTAATTGTCAAAAACTCTTGATTATGAAGTTAAAAAATTGACAAATCAAATTTGACAAATCAGTTTTGGTAAAATGACACAGAAAATAAGCAAATATCATTTTGTTAACTGTCAATCTCGAATAAACTGTTTGTGAAATAACTTTTGATGCAGAAAACAAACATTTACCGTTTTTGTAGCTGTCAAATTTGAAAAACTAGTTTTGTTAAAGTGGCATTTAACTGTCAATATTTTTTGTTTTAATATGATTAAAGTAATACCGTTTAAAAAAAAACAAATAAATATTATTTTGATAACTGTCAAAATCTCTTGTTTATGAAGTTAGAAAATGACATTTTTGAGGACAAACGGTTGAATAACTGTCAAATTTGACAAATCAGTTTTGTTAAAGAGACACTTGATAAAGAAAATGTACAAATATCATTTTGGTAACTGTCAAACTCGAATAAACAGTTTTGTTAAAAAGTCTTTTGAGATAGAAAACAAACAACTATCGTTTTTGTAACTGTCAAATTCAAAAAACTAGTTTTGTTAAAGTGACACTTTGTTCTGGAAACAAACGAATGGTGGTTTAGTAACTGTCAAAATTTCGTGTTTTGTTTTTTTAGCTAAAGATTTTATTTTTATCGAAGGACCAAAAACATTTTCAGTTTTATGAAATGTTATTATTCAGGAAAAAAACAACGTTTTATTAACTCGTGAAATAATAAAAAAAATCTTGTTGCTATATTTCCAGTAAATTCATTGCTAATTTATTTGCATTTTTGGTTTCTTTACACTTTTTTTAAAAATAGGAAAAAATTAAAAAAAATACCGATGTAATACAATCCACTAAAAAATAATGAAAATAATTTGTGAAAAGTGTAAAGCAATAGATTCGAGTAAAATTCTCTTGAAATTCGTTTCACGTGTGAAATACAATCCAGAGAATTAAAAGGCAGTGTTGCCAACTCTTTGAAAACAAAATTTATAAAAACCACCTTACCCCAGTGTCAAGTCCATGGTCGAAAGAAAAAATTTTTTTTGGTGAATTAATATTTTTTAATGCGATGTTTGTGTTGTTTTCTTCTTCCGACGGGTGAGTCCGATTCCCATCATGGCGAAGGGTGCTTCCTGTTGCGATTTCCTGCAATGAAAAAAATCTCGGATCGATTCAGAGTTTCAAGGAAACGATTCAATTAACAAAACAAACATCATCCAGAGCGCCTCCCCCATTCGGGCGACAAAAGATGAATAGAATCTTGGGGGTGGGGTGGAAATCGGGGGGTTGGTTGGAGGAGCAAAGACGTCAAAAACTTGGGCATTATGGATACCGTTTACGACGCGATTTCGGCAAATGGCGTCGAGCAGTGAGCTCGTTATTTTCTTATCTTTTAATTTCCGTTTTAATATTACCAAAGTTTGTTGAACATCAACTTAAACTCGGCTCAAAACTAATTAAAATTTGAGTATCACGAGTCGAGTTTCTAAGTTTTACGCGAGTTTTACTTATTCATATCATAAATGATGGATGTTGTTCCGCAGACTCATCTCCCTCACATCCAACCCCCACACCAACCCTTAGTCTTTCTCTTTCGACGGCTTCGTTCGCCTATCTGGATGCGTATCTCTTTGCGGCGAGAGATGCTTTTATTGTGCCACACCGATCAAAGAACTACCGAGAAACTGACACGGAATCGATCTAAGGAGGCTGGGAGCGAGAAACATCTGACGCTCGACATCATTTTATTCACATGAATAAAAAGTATGGAACCAAACGGTTTTTGCTTAAACTAAGTGATGAATGATAAAGTTTTAAAAATGTGATGTTTTATCAAGAATAAAATTTTTTTTTTGTTTTTAAGTTTTACAATTTTTTATTT